CTTCGGTCTGCAATGGATTTTGTTTTTCCCATATTTCCGAATTGCTTTGTCCTTCAGACATCGTGGTAGATTTATCCACGTCTTTCCTTGGTTTTGCTGTCTTAGGACCGTTGGCTCAATGTAGGGGATTTATCTTGTTTGAAACTTTAAGCTCTGTTTGGCTTCCAGGCACCAAGCTTTGTACTTTCTTTCTCTTTAATTCTGGTAACTCCTTTTTCCCACCTCCTTTTGCTTCCTCAAAGCTTGCATTTGCGGTGTTTGACCAGCCTTGATCAAACATTATGAATTATGAATTTGATATGTGATTATGAATCTCATATGTCCTGAGGTACATAACGACGATATTAGGATCAACAATCAGCAAGTGTGGCTCTCATGGGTCTCTCTTTTCTAGTGTCTTGACAAACCACTGGAGGCATGACTGAAGATGGAAGTCTTCAGGTACTTACAATGAATGCAAGTTGAAAAGGTCATGTCTACCTTGGCCGAGGTAGATGTGGAGCTTTTTGGGTGTTGATATAACTGTGAGGACATCTTTATTGGTGAGTGATGGTCCAGCGTATGGATGATCTTGGTGTTGGAATGTCAGCAGTTGATACCTCTGAGCCAGCTGGGGACTCATGGGTGAGCACAGCCCAAAACATAAGGTGAGAACACAGCAGCATGTGTTCATCATCCTGCTCTTTCACAGGTATCCTAAAAGAATTAGGGGCAGGTGCTAACCCAGGTGGGCTCATGTAGCAACACTGAAAGTCTCAGTGCCCAGTGCCCATATATATGTTCCAGACGGGGCAAAGGGGTGTCGCCACACTTCCCCTCAGCTTCAATGTAAGAACAGTTGAACCGCGAGACCTGTTTTCTCTAGAGTTTCCCTGATGGTCTGGCTGCAATCTACGGGCCACAGACGACTGGCGGGGGTGGGGGTGGGGCGGGATGTGCCGAGCCCTCCTCCCCATCTACTTCCACTTAGAACGAGAGCCTCTCAGAATAAACATCCCGGGAAGCAGATGGACTGACATCAAAGCTTGCAGTTCTTTTTCCAATTTTGATCGCAGCAACCATTTTTCACACAGGGTCTGCGTAGGTTTTAAAAGCTTGAACTGTGCTCAGCTGCTCACCAGAAGAATTCCTGCTCCTCCTGTGACCGGGCAGAGACAGTCAAGACATGTGGGGATGGTCTCCGTATGACGCTACGACGAGCAGCTGTGCCCGGAGAGCTGGAGCAAAACCTGCCACAGTACCTTGCACTGTAACCCGTTTCCATTTCATGCAGACTACTGAAAAGAATCTGGAAGATATACTTATTAATTATAAAAAATACATTAAGGAGCCTGATGTGAAAGGTGCCATCTCTCTGTGTTTGTAAAGGTCTAACCTCTACCAGGCAGCCTTTAATCTCAGAATGATTAAGCTAACTGGGACTCATAAGGCCACACAGTTTTCATGATTCTACACACTGACGCCCCCCTAGGTCTCACCATTTAACAGACCAGGACTCTGAGGTGCAGAAAGATTCAGTGGAGCTTTTTTTAAATTTGCATAGTTAGCGGAAGAACAGAAACACACACCCTAGTTTTTTGACAGTAAATCCTGCACTTTCGTGGCTTCCAAATGTCTTCGATCCAGATTACAGTATTTGACTGTCTCTGAAAATCTGCAGATGGCATCATGGTTATTAGACCACAGGGAGATGAAACATAAACTAATATTCAATGAGAGTGGACTTTGGGGTACCAGTTCTAACCCGGCACATTCTTTTCTCCACTTTCCCTCATTATCACGGCCACCCCAAAAACTGGCTCAGAGCGGGGGAGCGAGAAGCAGTTCCCGCTTCCTTCCCCGTGTCTCGTCACAGCTGCAGAGTCAGTGTGTTCAGCTGCAGTGCTTTGAGTTCGCTGTTCACTCTGCCACAACCAACCTCTGTTGTACATTTTCCTCCCGGAACACGTGACGATGCATTTCTTGACTATATATCCCGACTGCAGCAGCAGAGTTGTCAGAGCTCTGAGCCCCACACAGAGGAAGAACGCTCTTGGACTTCGCGGTTTAAGAAGTCAGGATTTGGGACGCATTTGCCAGCCTTAGGTAAGTTAGCGATGTTACTTGGCTTCAGAGATGTTTGAAAGAAGGTTGTTCCTGGCAGTTAGTACGTGAAGTTTTCCTTTCCTTTCCTTGTTCTAAGGAAACTTTGTTTTGAATTAAAAAACAGTTGTAAGTTTGAGTAAGTGGAGTGTAAACTTTCTTTTTTCCTGTTAAAAAGAATTCCCCAGTGATCACAACGTTAACTTATTTTCTCCGTGCTCCTTTGTCTTATATTGATTTTTTCCTCTGTTTTTAAAATTGTAAAAGCTTTTTACACGTTCAGTCTCTGAAATGCAAACATGATGGACATGTATGCATTGAAAAATCAAAGTTCTTCTTACATTCCCCTACCTGCCCCTGGCTTCTCCCTCATGTACTGCAGCCCCTCGGAGCTAACCCCCGTTCGCTGTTTGGTGGGACCTCCTACCACTCTTTCTCCAAGCATTTACGAGCAGTTCCCACGTTGCAATTCCACAAACCTCCTGCTCTCCCTCCTCTCTGTACCCCGGATGGCGGGAGAGTTCTAACCTGCAGGTTTCTCCCCAGATCCTGGCTGTGTGAGCCGTGCTTCAATGCTGAAGATGGACCCTCTGAACAGCACGCACCCCAGCACCGAAGCCCCTGGCAGCCCCCTGCAATCCCACGCTCCCAGCAGCGGCGGCAACGGTAACGAATACTTCTACATCCTGGTGGTCATGTCCTTCTATGGCATTTTCTTGATCGGAATCATGCTGGGCTACATGAAATCCAAGAGGCGGGAGAAGAAGTCCAGCCTCTTGCTCTTGTACAAAGACGAGGAGAGACTCTGGGGGGAGGCCATGAAGCCGCTGCCGGTGGTCTCGGGCCTGAGGTCGGTGCAAGTGCCCATGATGTTCAACATGCTGCAGGAGAGCATGGCGCCTGCCTTGTCTTGCACCCTCTGCTCTATGGAAGGGGACAGCGTGAGCTCTGAGTCCTCCTCGCCGGATGTGCACCTCACCATCCAGGAGGAGGGGGCTGATGATGAGCTGGGGGAGACTTCCGAGACGCCCCTGAACGAAAGCAGTGAAGGGTCCTCGGAGAACATTCATCAGAATTCCTAGCACCCCCAGGGCCTCTGGAGGTGGCCCCGTCAGCCAACACCCTTAGGAAGAGGGACACTTTTCGTGTCAGGTTTCACTTGTGCAGTGCAGCTGCCACTTTGAAGAGACCCTCGGCAAGCCCCTGAAGGGGGCTGGTAGGAGGCAGCGCTCAGCCGGAGCCAGCAGCAGCCAGGAGTCATGATGTGCCCGTGCCGCGCTGAGGACCCGCCACCGCGAAAGCCCTGAAGACGCAGAGCGTGTACATTTACTTTGGGGCTTGGGGGTCGGGATTCCTGTTCAGAATTTAGCGGGTCGGTGTGCTGTTGTTTTCCCACTGGATGCCCTGGGTAACTCCTGCAGCCTCTCTCTGCCCAGTCCCAGGGCTGCCAAATGCCTAGGTCACGCAGAGGGACTAGTTTTGATTTGCTAATTCGCCTAGAGCTTTGTTCTTCCAGATACGATTGGCTGTAAGTACCTCCACTGTGTCCCTGTGGCGTTAGTTCACAGCAGGTCACTGCGCTTCTTGGGGGTGGGGGGATGGGGTCTACTGGGTGGGGAAGGGGACATTTGATGGAGGACTTTTGATGGAAGAAAGCTGGATTGCTGAACCTGGCCCATTTGCATCTTGTAAGGGGGGAAAATGCAATTTAAAAACCTGTTAACATTGGCTGGGATTTTAAGACGTGATCTGCTATTTTGATATTTTCTCTAATGTATGACCTTGAACTCTGACCTGGGACTATCCAGCATCTCGTGCTGGCATGGAATTTTTTTGATTGGAAGGGTTTTCCCCAGAATCTAACCTGCGCACGAAGGGCCATGCAGAAGACTCTTTCTGAACTTTCCAGAAGAGGTAACAGTGGGGTTGAACAAATCCAGCCATTAGCTCTACTGCTGCTCATTTCTCTGCCTAGTGTTCTGAGCTGGGAGAGGACATAATGCCGGCTTCCATGATACAGCCTTTCGTCACGTAGCTGAGACCCAGAAGGGCATACTCAGGCCGAGACTGCACAAAGCTGGGGTCCACGTTCTGTTTCCTGCTCCAGAGCCTTGACACTGATTTGCTGTGTCGTCCTGGGCATGTCGTTAGGAGCCTACGGCCTGCATGAGAGCCCTGGTGATCTATATTCCCAGGGGGCTGGGAGGGTGTCTTTAGATTTTTAAGACCCTGTGATAAATTCTGCACGGTCTGATGTTAGAAAGCTCGGACAAAATATTTCCCCACCGGGTCAGTTGTCTGAACAAGAATCTGCTTATTTAAAGAAGCAGTTGGAAACTAGGAACACAAGTAACTGGGAAGTTCAGGGGGAATCACCAACTCATCCAAGCTGTCGTTTTTCCCAGCAGTGAACGAAAGAAAGAGGCGGATACCACGTCTCACTCTGCAAAGTTGCCTGGGTGCTGGAATGTTAACACTCCAGCTAAGCGAAATCCAAAAGAACACGCTCAGGAATGCTTGCTAAAGTGCCCGTGTATTCCTGTGGTCAGTAGCTTTGCCGCAGAGCCCGTAGGCCCTGGAAGACAGGGAGGAAGAGAAACACACCAAAAGGTCAAATTTAATTCTAGCAAAAACAAAAAAGCTTTTTTTTTTTTTTTTTAACATACCCTTCCTGGAGTGGAGACAGCAATGCCTTCTTGTCTCCACGGAAGGGTTAGGAGTGTAGGAGCTGGTTTATCAGTTCGCCTTAACACAGTGCTAGAGAAAATTTAAGTTTGGGGAAAAAAGAGGCCTCCATTCACTTTAAAAGTCAGAGTGTGGATTTACTCCAAAGGGGGCTGTTTAAGGTGAAAGAAGCCAAGTCGAGTTGGCCCCTCGCCTGGAATCACTTGAATTCTGAAACTTTACTGCAACGGACTTGTGCGTTGTCACATTTTCCATTGCTTAATCCTGCAGTTTGGTGCAAGTCTACCTGCGCCTGTTAAAAAGTGATGTAGATACTTCCTTCTTATTCTATTAAGTTGTATAAAATTGTCTTCTGTATTTAACAGTTTGTAATTTTCACAATATTTTTTAATTTAAATAAATAAACACATTGCCCCTGAGGAAGTTCTCAGTTCTTTCTTTGATTCTTCAACATAATTCCTAGTTTCTAAGGAGTCCTAGATACTTTCTCCAAGCTATTTCTGGATCTGGATCTGGGTGAGACTCCTGTGAAGACCTGTCTTATTTCTGCCTGAACCACAGCCTGAACGGGGCTGGGCTTTTCCACTTTGTGATATGCTTTGCAGTGAATGAAAATCAAGCTGAGGAATGTCTTACATCAATTGCTCTTTTTAAATTTGGTGGCCGAGGGCCCTTTGAACTTGAACGTGCATTGACATGGCAATTGCTACAAAGCTGTTGCTCCAAATTTGGTTGCGAGAAAACGTTTGATTTGCATGCTGGCTCGGCAGATATTATCCACACGTGGTTGCAGCACAGAATGACGGACAGGGAGTTGCTGTATATACAGCAACACAAACTTAGCGATATAGTGGAGCACACGCGCCGTGATTGGGGATCGTCTCTCCTTCCTCGCCCAGTCACCTCTGCACAAAGACTGACTTTCTAAGCTCCTCCTGCTCGGTTTGGCTGTAGCTGTGTCCGGCAGGCTGAGGCTTGGCCAGGATGCTCCAGCCTCTCCTTCATGATTTCATTGACACAGCCAGAAAGGCTAAAGAAAAATTGCCCAAACCAGTGACCCATTTTGAATCAAGCATGTGGTACAAAACAGTCTTACCTTTGTGTTTCGTTGTGTTCTGTGCATTTGGCTTTTCTCTTTCAAGTAAATGTTTCTTTTAGCTTCACAAATAACTGTCTCCCTAAAAGATTTATGTAGCCAAGGTACAGAGGAGCCTGGATCCTCCTCAAAACACATCAAGGATCTTCATCCATCAGTTTGACTATGTGAGATGTGAAGATTATTTTAAAAGACAAGAAAGTCCTTCACTTTATTCTGGCTTAATGTCATTCTCGGTAAGGAAATAGTTAAGGCAAACATTTTCTACCAGGGATGGAAGAATAGGGAATTCTAAACTCTAATTGTCCTAAAAATATGCAGAGTACACTATGTCATTTTAATGGAATATTTGTTTTCTTTAAAAAAAAAAAAAAAGAACTTCTAAGCAGAACCTAAGGCCCAAGGGGTTTAGTCTGTGTGGATTTACTCATGCATGTGAAAAACGGAGAAGGGAATTTGGCTCTGTGCACCTAGGATATTAGAAACATATTTTAAAGCACTTAAATGTTAGGGATGAGGTAAATGGATCATCCCGCTTGCCCCATGCTGTTCTAATTACACCTTTGTACGTCAAAGTCAGGCAGGGACGCTGCTGAGAAGGAGATCTCTTTCACAGACGGGATCATGGGATCAAAACTACCGGGAAAGGCTGAAGCTGGTTGGAAAGTAGAGCCCTTGGTACATGTGAGAGCTGCAATTGGAGGGTTTTGTGGTCAGGCCTGCATTTCCAGGGCTCAGCCAGAGAAGGGTCGTTTATCATCCTGTAAACTACTACTCCCATCCTAGACGCTGTGGAATTGACAGAACGTTGAGCTTACAAGGAGTTGATATTCCAGGTTTAGACAGAGCATACATCTGCTCAGTTGCCTTACTGAAAATCTAGACATCTTTCTAGAGAAAATCACAGGGAGTATCACGGGTCAAAGAACAGGACGTGGTGTCTGGGGCTGAAGGGAGACATGTCCGGTGGCTGACCGGGATGGTGGCTCAGGCAGGGGACGGACTGCAGGAAGGCAGGGTGTGAATGGCGTTCAGCAGAGCTCCACCTTGTGATAGCTGGCGTTCTAGACTAACTCTGCTGCTGTGTGCTCTGTAGCTCTTGGGAAGCTACCCAGCCTCTCTGACCTGCAGCTTCTCTCTTCCAAAATGAGAGGACAAGCTGGCCTTCCTCTCTGGGGAGCTGTTAGTGAACAGAATGGTGAAACACTGAGAGATACTGAGCTCTGCTTGAAACTAGACGAAATGCAGCTTCGGGCTTCTGCTTCTGAAAACGTGTCCTCGGCATCCATCTGAAAATAAAGTCGCTGAAACCTCCACCTCTGTGGACCGTTTCCTCAGGAGACTGCAATGTTTAGGAAAAGGGCATAACGTGCCAAAGGAGAAAGGTCGTAAGAGAGAAAAACCACTGCTTTTCCCCATTTCTGAAATGTTTCCTCTCACACAGGAAGGAACAATTTGGGTTGTAGGCTGTTACTATGGAGATTACCAGCCAAGGTCACTTATTTGAAGGAGCCCATGGCCCCACAGCGCTAAATCATTACAGCGACTTTATGAAGTTGGAATTTGGTCCTTGACTCAGGCGACAAGCTTTGAGCCCGTGGCAGCCTCCGTCCACGGCACGGAGGACGGACGCAGGGAGTACACTGTTTCTCCTTTTGTCCTGTACAGCCCCGTCTTTCTTTTTCTTGCACCTGCCACGTGCAATACAGGGCTAAGCTTTTGTTTTTCCAGCTCTAGGAATTTATTTTCTTATCTTGCATTTTCTGGCAAAGAAACACAGTCAAACAATTTTTCACACCAGTGACTATTAACTATACTCTTTTCCTGTCCTGAATGTGTTGTTGCTGTTTTTTTTTTCTTTTTTTTTTAATTTTACCTCCCGTTCAGAGATGGTGAATGGCATATTCTCTCTTGCCTTAGTTCTGACTGCTAGGACAAAGTAACATAGGTGGGGTGGCTTGCAAACAACATACACTTATTTCTCACAGTTCCGGAGGCTGTAAGTCAGAGATCAGGGTCCCAGCATGGTTGGGTTCTGGTGAAGATCCACTTCTAGTTTGCAGGTGGCTATCTTCTCCGTGTATTCTTACTTAATACAAAGAGAGCAAACTAGCTCTCCGGCCTCTTCTTATCGGGGCACTAATCCCATTTCTGAGGGCTCCACGCCCCTGACTTAATCACCTCCCAAGGACTCCATCTCCAAATACCATCCCATTGAGGATTGGATTTCAACATTACAAACTTGGAAGGAACACAAGTATTCAGTCTTTAGCATCTCTTTCCCCAACCTCTCTCCATCTT